AGTCAATCACCTTTGAATTTTATATATATAGATATACGTAAGTGTTGAAAGGTTGATGTATGTATTTATTTTTTTGTTTTATTTTATTTATTTGTGAAAACAAACAGTGACACATTACATGATACATTATAATGACACAATACATAGTACGAACAAATAACTGCGTTTTCCACAGAATATAAATGAAATCATAAACACCATCACACCAACTTATATAACTAATAAGAAACAAAAAGAAAACATAAATAACATTCCGCCTTTTGATCCCTGAGGGGAAAGGCAAAGCTATGATATTATTTTATTGTGCTTATCTAAAGTTATGAAAAAAAAATACGTACAGATTTTCAATTTAAATGTGGAATCACCAATAGACCGATCAGCAGATGGTAGTATTGGGAAGAATACTGACGGTTCATGATAATTGTCCCACACATACGCACAAAAGCGTTTCGCATCAAGGTTCCTTATGTATACAGCTAAGGAGTGGAATTTCTTGCTAGAGTCTGTGGAGGGAATAATAACCTGAATGTCTTTAAGGCCCGAGTGACTAAGTTGCTTGTGAGCAGACGTGCTCCATCATAGATTGCATCATCGCTTACCACTAGGCGAGATAGTGGCCAAACGTTGGCTCATCGAATATAAAATTACAAATAGCTAAGTTATTAACTACTTTAGATATGAATAATGAACAAAATGAGATAAACTTTGTACAATATAGTCTAGATAATAATAAAGTAATAAAATTTAAAGTATCTAATCCATTTAAGTGCAGTTTTATATGTATAAGAGCTAAAAGATTTGCTGTTGCGCATACTTTGATATAGCAAGAAATGACGTCACTTAAGCTTATGAAACTTATATTTCAAATAAAACGAACAAATATATTATTCATTGTTGTTATATGTTGGTTATTAAACAATAGTCTTCATGGTGTTATTCTAACTACAAAATAATAATACTTTTCTTGTTCCAGTCGGCTCTCTGGATCGTTGGATGAGTATCACAAGGAGCTCAGTAGGAATTCATAAAAATAATGAACTGTAGACTACAACCGAGTACCTAGTGACTGATAAAATAGGGATGATAACGGGGTATGAAATTTTAAAATCCATGTTTCCATAATGAAAATATATTAGGGCCGTATTTTTTCATTTTGTTGTATAATAAAATAATACTTAGACATAACGAATGAAATTTTTAGAGTGGGGGCTAAAACGTCATTTCGACGTATAAAATGTACATAGAAGTGACGTCACGTGACATTTTAAATCAAGATATCGTCGAAAGTATTCGTTTCTATATTTTCTGTAAAAAAATAAAAATACGTGTCTAATGTTTTAAAATAATCTACCAGACGGACATTAAAATAAAAATTAAGCATCTACCCTATTCTATACAAATCTTGCACTGAGCACTTTGAAAATGGAAAATGCCAATATTTAGTTTGAAAAGGATATAAATAAAAAGGTATTCTATATAATATTCTTCCTGGTACCTCCTCCACAAACGACCGTCCATTAAAATCCTACCTCAATGTAACGTGATCAGCTTTTTTCCAGTTATTCCAGTCTGGCAATTATGTCAATTACAGTCGGATTTCGGTACTGAAGGGTAGCGACCCGTGGTCAGTAGTGGCAACTTAATAGGCTTCTATTGTGCCCTTCCTAATTGAGAATAATTGTCTGTGTCATTAAGCAAGGTGTTACGAATATTGTAAGTGAGTTTCTCGTTAAAGGTTTGATGTTATTGAACTGTGACGTCACGGGAATTATTATTGTTGTTTGGTTCTGGGAAAAATGTGTGTAATGGACGTCAATGAAATAATATTTTTTTACCAGATGGTAATATTTTTTTATAATGTAACACTGAACTTTTTAGTATCGTGTGTGTGTGTTTCGGACTCGAAACATCATTTTTGTTTTTGAAACAGCGTCTGACCGTATAATTTCTACGTGAATTTTCATGTTTGTAAATGGACCATTGAATTTTCCTGTTTGATCGACGACTGTTGATAAAGAGAAAGAGGTACACCTCAGAAGAAAAGGGTAAAAAGGAAGAGGACAAGCTTTTTATAAAAATAAATTTTAGTGTAGACGTATATATTAAACTTAAACACGACGACGTGTTTAAGTTTAATATAGCTAATAATAAAATAAACTTTAAAATTAACGTATTAAATTAAAGCTTATCCCCAATTCTGATTAGACACAAAACAATAACTTAGATAAAGATTTAATTACAACAGTTAAATCGTTTTGTGTAAACATTTACTAAACTTTTATTGTTGTTGATAAATCGTTCAATTATCTATGGTTGACTGAGTTACTTACCCATTAGTCAAGTTTTAACAACGGCCTGTATTTTAACTGAAGTTTACAAATTCTAAATTGTCTAATAGACGTTTTAGGATTTAATAAAATTTGTTGAAATTCTGATATCTTTTTGTATAATTATCACTGTTTCTAATAGCAATTTAAGGAATCTAGATTTACGTCTTTTAGGTTCATTTTTATGGCAGAAATAAACATAGTTATTACATGTAGCATAGTAGAATATTTGCCATATTTTACAATTGTCAAATACGAAATAATAAACGCATTTTCATCATTATATCAGTCATAAGATGTCCTTCCACTATTAAGAATTCCCCTTCCCTAATAGTGTAGTTTCCTAAATTTTAATTTAATGTCCGTCTGGTTGATTAATTTAAAAAATTACACTTGTTTTTTGTTTTCTTACAAAATCAAATACTTTTGACGATATTTATTAATTCGAAATATCGTGTGACGTCATAACGTGCTACAAAATGTAGCACGCTCCCAGCCCGCTACTTCGTACGCGCAATCCCGTTTTCTCCCGTTTCCGTAGGATTTTCAGGTTTATTTTTTAGTCATAAGAACCTTCTCCTAATAATAACAACAAATACATCAAAAACAGAATTAGTGATATCGATTCAGCCATGCACGGGTGATGCCCTGACCAAAGGAAAAAGGGTTTCATTTTTTTATAAAAATATATATTCTTTAACTGACATACTAATTTATTTAAAATTAGATTTCATACCATATTCATATAATTATATAATTAATTTTTAATCCAGGACAACTACCATATTATACACACTAAAACACCTTTTACTGCTACCGAAAGTAGTCTAAAATCAATTAATCAAAAAAATATAGTTAACATAGTTATTTGCTCGTTAAAGTATTCTCCAGATAGCTATGTTATCTTTAAGAATACTAAGTCCCACATTTTAATAATCAATTATATTAGATACCATCAAACATTAAATTATAATACATTCTACGAAATATAATAATACCTACCTAACGTACAGCATAAATATTAAATTAATATTTCAAATTTCATATCACGTGTTAATAGACAGGTCATTGCCTTGCAAAATATTAAATTGCAGACGAGAAGGGAGACAGGCATTATATTGTCATGTACTTGTAATTGGAGAAGCCTTAGGAAATACCTGTATTCAGGACTGGACAATGAACTAGACAACCTTTTCTATAAGGGTAATAATAAACTAGAGATCCTTCTCTACGGTGCGTTCTATGCGGTCATATCTTAAATCGAACAAAGAGTAAAACCACTGTAGAACATTTGGTTGGCTTATTGCCTGCAAAACAGCCTTTTTAACCCCCAAAGGGGTATGTAAAATCCAAACTTAGGTCCATAACTGAAAAAAAATGTAAAGGTAAAAAATTCCCAATGATATTTGCTTTGCACAACCTGGGAACTCGAACGGAGGTCAACAAGGCAAGTCTTAAAAAGTATTTTTTTATTTATAATATACGTAAGTACGTACGGTATATTAATATCTCAGCATTTTTTATTTCGATTTATGATTTTGTTTCCACTATTTAGTTTCGAAATTCAACTATCAATTCCACGTGTTTTAAAAGCAGCCATGAAATGGACGTCATGATTTCTATTGTTAATTAAAGGCTTCATAGCTCTAGTCTATTTATATTCTTAAAGTATTAGTAAGTTGAGACTTCTAGTCTCCGATAACAGTAAACTTCGAAAATAAACTTCAAAGTAAATGAATTGTATGAACATTTCTTGGTTAGTTCTGTTATATTTAGAGCGCATTCAAATAGCACCCACGTGGTAACTTTGGATTATCTCTAGTAAAATATTGTTTATTTTTAATAATATATGAATATAAAAAAAACAGTTTGTATAAAGCCTTTCATCACTGCTACGTGATTCATTGATAGACAACGCGCAGTCAAAACTACTATGATCGTAAAAAGCTAAAAGGCATATATGCTCCTTGGGGAGTTTATAGGAGAACTAAAATGATCCAAAATTCTTCGGGGAACCGAAAAGTCTGGATTTAACATGTTTGAAGAACATTAGTTCGAAACATTTACGTGTATTCGAAAACAAAAAAAAAGTGTCTAACCGCAATATTACGTAGCGTCATCAATCTTGATTATCTTCTATTTCAGAAACAAAAGTAACTTAGCAAAACTTTGATACTCATTTTATTTAAAGCGGGGTTAAAGTTACTATTCATAGATGTTGTCCACTTTGAAAACTGCGCAACTGGGGCTAAGCTAGTTAGTCCAACTTCCTGCTAAACAAATGCCTTTCAATAGCATTAAACTGTTCAACTCAAACATTAGACTAATTTGACCCGCCCCAACAGTTTGTCCTATTTACATTCATCCTATTTCTCCGAAGCTTATCCCGTCCACAGATGTTCTATAGAAATACCACAATTCAGCTAAACCAGGACCCATGTAACGTAAATGTAATCGTAAAAAACGGTTCATTTTGTGCGTACACATTGAGATACTTTAATGGAGAATTGAGTGCTTTTATAACAAAATGTTTAGTAGTCAACGTTGTCTGTACAAGTCCCAACTTTAGTTAATGGAAGGAACATGCGCAGTACGTACTTGGAGGAACTTTGGCGGCGGGATTTCGTCCAGTGGCTTGGCGGTACTTTTGACCACCGTACGTATACCGAGCTGAGCGCTACCAGGCTCGCACTTATTTCCCCAAGTAAAACCAACCGGTGTTTTATGTAAGCATTATTAAAAACAGTAGAAAAGCATGTCTATGTGTGTTTAGAAAGTTCGAAATTCCCTTGAAAAGTAGGTGTACCTGTGACTTTTTGTAAAAGGGTAAGTTCTTTCCTGTAGTTTCCCTGTGATTAAACTAATCGCGCTTAATGAATGAATAGTTTGTTATTTGCATGACAAATTATTACTGTTCGTCTATCTATCTTCTAATCATAGTTACTCGCCTTGAAATTATTGTAACGCCTACTTACGCTTGATTAAACAAACAGTGATAGTCATAATGATTGAAAAAGCTGTTGAAAATAATTAAAACGAAGTTTATGTACAGGTAAGTACGTTAATTTAATTGCCTATTAAAGTATGTATAATTTTGTTCAATGTCGCCTACAAGTGATGATATTTCCGCTTTTACAACATTTGTGTCAACTAACCTGAATACAGTTCTTTGAAAATAATAAAATATAAAGAACAACAACCAACATGTCAAATACTCCATTTTTCTAATAAAGATTTAGAAAATTATTTTCTCTTTGTCATATTAATTTTTTTTTTTGTTGCCAGTTCCAATTCCGTTTTACTTTACAATATTGCAACTGTTTACAGCGAGTCGTATTTCCGTGATTAATTCGTTTATGTCTTAAAATTAATTAGGTATTTAATAAATTAATCACTTGCCATAAAATGCCATAGATTTAGGAAGACAATGTTTCACAATATCATAGAAAAATCATAATTTTGAGCAGAAGACGAGAAGTTATTTAGATTAAGAGATGAGTGAAGTTTTCTAAAATATTTCAATTGTTGATAATATTAAGTATTTTTATATCGAACTAAAACAGTAGATAGGAATAAATTCTAAAACTGACGTAAAAATATGACGTCAACAGTCCCTGTTGTACAAAATCCATAGAACATGATGATTATTTTTGACATTTCGCAATATTTATTGATCATGATGTATTGTGATATTTTGAATAATATTCTTTAATTCCAAATAAATTCAAATATAATAAATAGCAAGTTGCATAGCTTTCTACTAACACATTTTTTGTCTGTATTATAACTTTCGTGAGACATACTATATAAATTATTATGTTTTCGGCACTTTTCACATTTTTTGGCGGCGAAAGGAGTGAAATTTTTACATGGAGTCTGTTTTTATTCCGAGTTTTAATCAAAACTCTGAACCGTCGGTGATTTATTTGATTTGACCCATATCATCAACAATTTCCGATAAGGAGCCACGGAAGGCCTAACGGGTAGGAGCGGGGTGGTTTTTAGTTAGTAAGAGTCTGACACTCCCTCTCGCCTAACCCAAGGTGGGAGAAGCCATTGGATAATTTGTCCCCCACAAAAAAAAAGGATTAATAAATTGTACAATAATCACGATCAATTATTATTTTCTAAAAATTTTAGTATAGTAACGTGATTTTCAAACGGGTGGGTTTGGAAGCCATTTGCGTCATGACTTGCAAATAAATGGTTCCTGAGATAGAACTTGAGATCCAATGGGAACGATATTTTGGAATTGATCCGATGCAACCACAAATGTCTAAATGTCAAATAAATCGAACATTTCAATATTTAAATAGAATCGAATTTCTAGGTATCCGAGGCCGAACGCATACTCGTTTCGAATACTTTAAACGTAAAACAAACTCATACTAAGGCCTCCGATAGCTTTCCCTTACTTTTAGATATCAGAGAAAATAAACAATTCGAAGTAAACAGGTTTGATCTAGTTAGACTGAACGATATTCCTTTGATACTGAGATTGGTTTTTTATTTGTAAACTTTGTATCAAGCTATCTCGTCTTGATTTTTGGAGTCAATTTATTAGCATGACGATATTCGCGGATCATATTTTCTTTTGCGACTTTCTTGCGACGATTTATTATTTTTATCATAAAGTATTGATCCTAATTCAGACTATATTGGGCTAGCTTTAATAGAAATACCTATAATCGAAAAGTAAAACTTTGATTGACGTCCAAATAATTAAGTTATAACTACTCCTTTGATTACTATTTTAAGGAAACTAAATGACACCGTCTAGACGATGGTTCATTAATATTTAATTAATGCGTCATACTAATACCAAACAATTTAAACTCGACGTATTTTGGAGACAAACAAAATAAAGGCCGGGTTACAAAGGAGTGCCATGTTTTTCAATGGGGATTTGTTTGCTCTGCCATTTTGTTGTTGGAGAGAAAATGGCGTACCTATGTACCCTTTGGAATAAATAGATAGATATATACTAGATACAAATGTATCAAGATATATTCAACAATCTACATAAAACTGTTTTTACATTTTAAGTCTTGTGTTGATTTTTACTAAGATTTTACTTAATGGTATTTCAACTAATAGCATCCGACTGCTACTTCACCAAGTTTCTTAATGAGTTCTGGTTTTCTATAGAGACAGAGGAATAAGGCATCTGTACTTATTACCTGGTAAACGTAAAGGAAAATATTTTCAATGTTAAATTTTTCTTACAATTCTTAACCGCATCGTGGTTGACGTCAGAACATTTTTTTTTCTAGCTACTTGCGCACGTTTTCGCGCGCTCGCTTCCTGTTTATCGTAGCGTGATGTTTTATAGCCTATAGGTTATATGATAAATTATTGATAAATAGACTATACAAGACTGATTTTGTCACATCGGATCAGTGGTTTCTGAGATTAGCGTGTCCAAATCAAGCAAACCAAACTCTTCAGTTTTATATCCTAATCATTATCAACAGCCGAAAGACGTCCACTGCTGGATAAAGGCCTCCTCCTTAGCCCTCCACGTCGAACGACAACCCGCCACTTGCATCCAGTGGCTCCCTGCAACACTGGCTAAACTTTGCTTTCAGTTTTATATAATAAAAAATAAATATGATTAGTGATATTTTTAAGAGAATGCCTCGTTGGCCGAGTGGTTGCAATTGTGACTGCCGGGTAAGGGGTCTCGGGTCCGATTCCCGGGTCGGAATAGTATATGGCAATAGGCGTGAGCCTATTGCCATATACTATTCCCTTATATATTATGCCTATTCCCATATATATACATGGGACTCAAAACATAAATAATGGTTGTCTGGAAGAAATCACCATTGTGTGATAAGACCGCCCATTGTACGCATATTTACTTGAATTGTTTGTTTTAAGCTACATAAATGTGTACAATAAAGCATATATAAATAAATAAATAAATAAATAAATAAATAAAATAAATAGTGAAAAGTGTGTGTTACATTGTACAGTTGCATTAAGTGTCGTAATGTGCACCTCTGCCTACCTCTTCGGGGATAAAAGGCGGGATATTATGTTATGTTATATTTTTTAAATAAGTGTTCACTTATGCATTTACTTTACCTAGTTTTACCGCTAGACTTTTAGAAATAGGCTACGGTAGCTACTTCATTTCAATTAGGTACGTACCTACTTTATCTTGTTCCGGAAACAATGTTAGTTCTCGTTAATGAGGATTAATGATGATTAAACAATCAGTCAGTAAGTAAATAAAGTAGGTGTTTTATTCGTTGAGTGGACACAAGTCTACTATGTCTAGCAATTGCGCAATTTTAGTTAAATTTTCAGGTGTTATAAAAAACTGGGATTTTTAGTAAAAAACCGAGTACCCAGTGTTGGAAAATAGACTCGAGTCTATTATATTACGAACGGCCATATAATATATTACGATAATAATACTACGTACTGAAGCAACTTTTTTCTTTTATTTTTTCTTTTTTTAAATAAACCGTTACCGTAGAATTTTCTCCTGTGTCGTGGGTGCGTTTGTAAACATACAAGTTCACGTACACATGACACTCAGACCCTGAACAATAATCTGTGGATCCATACAAAAATTTGCTCCGTGTGGGAATCAACCCGCGACACGATGCGCGGCAGCCGGTTGTTCAGCCAGCGCATCTACCATGCAGTCAACAGTTTCAGTTGAATACAATAACAGAAAAATTCTGTATATCCTCAAGTAATAGCGTAATGGTTACAAATGTCATCACGCCTGATTAACCAAAAGGAAAAAGCAGACGTACATTTATGCTTATACGCGAATATTTTTGGACCAGTTGAACAAACAGAGAAAGCTAATATTATTCTTCCTACCGCTTATTTCATTCCCTTTCATGCAATATCTACGGTAAATACACGAAGAAGTTAACCAAATAAGATGTATGCATGTTGTTCCTTCAAACATTTCCTTACATTCACCGTCCTGTGTCAAAATGAAATCTTGTAGCTGTAAGAGCAGCGTATTCGGTTATAAAGTGTGCGATATTGAGGCGTAGCTTATTACCTGTATCCAATATATTTTAAGTACAAAGGTACTACAACGTTGACAAGAGCAAAACACCAATATGTTTTAGGTATACTTGCTTCAATTTTTATGAAATCGATAATAAGTGTTACATGGAGTTTTTTTTTTTTTTTTTTTTTTTAAGGGGGGAAAATCATCGAATGACTGCCCCCGCCTGGGTGAGGCGGGAGGGAGTGTCAGACTCTTACTGACTAAAAACCACCCCGTTCCTTCTCCTGCACGTCGAGCCGGAGCCCCGGTTACCCGTTAGGTTCTCCGCGACTCCGAATCGGCATCGGCCCTATTGGGCCCCATCTGTGGTGGTCTGATGGCTCTTTGAGGCGCGCGCGGAACGCGACGCGCCGTACGCTCGGGTCTGTTTCTGGTCGGACGGGGAGCCACCCATGCTCGCCGTCCGCAGGCCCGCGCTTACGGTGGCCGGAGATCGTCCCGCGATCCCCGACGCCCGGTGTGTCCTTCGCGATGGCTGGGTTGCGAGGAGGCAGCGCTTCGCTGCCTCACGCGTCCCGCCTCCTCCTTAGCTAGCATGACTGCTTCGCAAAAGGAGGAGACGGCATCCCAATCCCCCTCGCTCCGCATCATGGCCTGCACTAGGCCCGGACGCGAGAGGTCGCCATCGCCGATCACTTCCCTGAGGACACGGCGGTGCTCAGCCCACGAAGGGCATTCTCCCACCGTGTGTTCCACCGTGTCCTCAGGGCGGTCCTCGCAGTGATGACACCCGGGCGTTTCCTCCCGCCCCATCAGACACAGGTACCTCCCGAAACTTCCA